AAAGTGCTAACTGAAGACTTCAGAGAGCTGCCTGGGGGGTTACCATGGGAGGTGCTGGGAGGGCGCTGCACCCAGGGAGGTCACCTGCACCCCGACTCCCTCCCTCCCCCTTGGCCAGGCATCTCTTCCTTCTGGCTGTTCCTGGGTTGTATCTTTTTATTTTTTTTAAAGATTGCTTTATTTATGCATATAGAACTGGGGTGCAGGCCAGAGGTGCAGAGGCTGTGAGAGGCTTCACCAGAGACAGAGCAGAACAGGCAGATCAATGAAGCACTCTGCTGAGGGGGGCAGCGGGCGGTCTGCTGCGCCCTGTGGGTTACTTCCCTGCTGGGGATCCACCTGCGGTCGCTTGCAGAGCTGCGTCCTAACCTGTTGTGTCACTGGGGAGGGCCCTTGTATTTTTTTATAAGAAATCTTTCACCCAGCAAGCAAGCTGCTTTCCTGAGCCCTGTGAGCTATTCTAGCAAGTTTTCAAGCTCAAGGAGGAGGCTGTGGGTACCCTCAATTTGTAACCGAGCTGGACAGAGGCTGTGGGCTCCCTGGCGACCCACTACTTGTGACTGACCTCAGAGGCAGAGGTGGGAGAAGAGTGTCCTGGGGCTGAGCCCTTCACCTGTGGGTGCTGAAAGTAACTCAGGGGGGTCCGCAGCACCTAGCTGACCTGTAAGACATCAGATTGGTGCACTCCAGAGGCTGGCAGGACACACCCCACACGTTTGGCAACCTGGAGTGGTGAGTAGAGGGAGGAGACTTTTTTCCTTTCACTGCCTTTCCTTTCCAATCAGAATGAAATTCTGACATTTTAAGGCGGCACAAAGGATTCTTCAGGTTATCTTCTGTTAAAGCCCAACCTCACCTCCTTTCTGGAACTTTATATAAATCTTTAGGTTTCCTAAAGTAAATCATATTCTCAAGCTTCTAGGCTTTGAACATACTATACCATCATCTGGCAAAAACACATATAAGCCCGGACTGCTCTGCTCTCGGCAGCCTCTGCAGTTGACCCCCGGCCAGGGAGTGACCCACAGGGCGCAGCAGACCTCTCCTGGCTCCCCGCTGCTCCCCTCAGCAGTGGATTTCAGTCAACCTGCCTGTTTTGCTCCCCACTCTGTCTCTGGTGAATCCTCTCACCCCCTGCACCTCTAGCCTGTACCCCAGCACTTGTATGCATAAGTAAATAAAGTAAATCTTTAAAAAGTAGAAACACATAAATCCCATTTTTCAAAAAAAACATAAGATTAGAATATGTGTTTCCCCTTTGATAATGGAAGTTAGTTTTCCATCAGTAAACTGTTAACTGGATTTGAAGGCCAAAGAAAATCTCAAATCAAATATATTTTTCATTCCCACAGCATATACTGTTCTCAAGCTTCTGACACCCAAACAGGAAAACGATAAGAACACCCCGGTGCTAATAACACTTGCTAGTTTTTCTTTCCTGTTAGAGATATTTATACTTGAATTCTTTTTAAGGCTTGAGACATTTTTAGATGAATTTCATACATGAAGAGCAAGGTGGGGCTGAAAATTGGGGATGATTTATAAAACCACAGCAGATATTATAAACAATATTATCTGGGCCCTCCCTGGTGGCACAGTGGTGTGGACAAGTGAGGAGTTTCACCAGAGACAGAGTGGGGAGCAGAACAGGCAGATCGATGGGGTACACTGCTGAGGGGGGCAGCGAGACAGGAGAGGTCTGCTGCGCCCTGTGGGTCAGCTCTGGGCTGGGGATCGAACCTGCACTGAAGCGGCTGCCACCAGCTTGCAGTGCTGTGCTCTAACCCACTGCGCCACCAGGGAGGGCCTGTCATGCCTCCTTTTGGTAAGCAGGTGGGTTCTAACCAGTCTTGACTGAGCTTTCACCAGCATAAATTCCTTCATAAAGACGTGGGAGACCAACTCTGGGCTCTTGGCCAGCTCCCACGGGAATCACTGCCTTCTGCCGATGAGCTGGATTCTAACTGCGTGCCTGTCTCTCCACTCTGGCTTCAGACCCCACGTTTTCCACACGACTGCCCTCCTAGGTAGACTCGCATCAAATATGTGTTTGCCATTGAGAACACCGAGTCCCAACGCAGCCCGGGCCCAGGACTGAACCCAGGGTGAGCCACGGTTACCTGAGACTCAGATGGCTGGTGGGACAGGACGCACGGAGTATGCGGGACGCTCTGGAATCACTGCTCTGCCCCATGGGGTGCCCACTGTGCACAGGGCCTCAGGCAAGTGACCAGTGGCTGAGCCTGCTGAGCCAGGCATCCTATGGGCAGCCGCCAGGCTGGATGAAGGTTCACTGGGAACAGAGGCGGCGACAGTCCACCTGCCGGTCAGCTCACTGGGCAGGGCCAGGTGGCAGCCATGCTCACGCCAGGGGGCACAGACGCTATCCCTGGGGCTATGGTGCCATTGCAAGGGTCAGACTCCTTGGCTCACGGGACCTGCATATCTGTCTACCTGATCTCACTAAATAAAACAATTCCAGCATCTCTTGGAATCAAACATCTAATTCAAGATCTCCCAGGTTGCCTGCAGGGAAAGATCACTTCGTGCTCACAACAGCCCCCTCCGCTGTGTGCGGCCTCTAATAACCCGCCCACCTGCAGAGTGTGGAGGCAAACGACACACCCACATGTCTGTGCGAGCACACGGGAATGTCTTTCTCTGGGTTTTAGATTTTCAGTAACTCTCGGAAATAATCATTTTTTAAATATAGAAAAGTAGGGCCTCCCTAAGGGGTTGCATCTCAGGGAGTGACCCACATGGCACAGCAGACCTCTCCTGTCTCCCCGCTGCTCCCCTCAGCAGTGAATTTCAGTAAATCCACCTGTTCTGCTCCTCACTCTGTCTCTAGGAATCCTCTCACCCCCTACATCTCTGGCCTATACCCCAATTCTGTATGCGTAAATAAATAATTCTTTAAAAAAAAGAAAAAATATTAAAAAGTAAAATGATCCATGAGTGCAGGAATAAATGGGAAAAGGAGGGAAAGAAAGAGAAACAGATGAGCTCAGTGTGCAGCTGAGGAGAGTAAAGAAAAACACAAAGGAAGCTCTGATGTGGTGAGTTTCCAACATGCTCTCTGTGGTGAACTGAAAAATGACCCCACCAAGATGCCCATGTCTTAATCCCTGAACCCCATCAACATATACAGATGTGATTAAATTAAGGACTGAGATGGACAGCTACACAGGGCCTGGTAAGTGAAAGGAGAAGCAGGGGAGCCAGAGAGGGAGTGGAAGGTTGGAAACAGGTCACAGTGATGCCATTGCTGGCTGTGAAGATAGAGGAAGGGACCCAAAACAAGGTGGGTTCTAGAAGCTGAAAAAGGCGAGGTGGGCAACCCTCCCTGGTGGCATAGCCAGTTAAAGCACAACACTGCAAGCTACCCACAACCGCGTCAGTGCGAGTTCGATCCCATGTCCTGGGGTGACCGCGTGGCGCAGCAGACCTCTCCTGTCTCGCCCGCGGCTCCCTTCGGTCGTGTGGTTCAGTGGATCTGCCTGTTCTGCCTCCCGCTCTGTCTCTGGGGAATCCTCTCTCTCACACACACACACCCACATCTTTGGCCTACACCCCAGTTGTGTGTACAGAAATAAATAAACCTTTAAAAAAGAAAAGAAAAATGCAAGCTGTAAACAGACTTTTCTCTCAAAGCTCTAGAAGAAATGTAACCCTGCCACACCTTGATTTTAGCCCAGTGAGACCCTTTGGGCCTTCTGACCTTCCAAACTTACAAGAATATAAATTTATGTAGCTGTAACTCACTGCCTTTGTGGCAATTTGTTACAGCCGTTGGTAACTAAGACACTCCACTGCCTGCTAGACAGATCCCATGTTGGTTAACACAGGAATATGTCCCAAAAATGTGTGTCTGGGTGATTTCCTAGTTGAGCAAATGTCATGGGGTGTGATTACACAGAGATGGCATGGCCTTCCACGCCACCCTGTACATACAACCCGTTGGCTAAAACGTCCTTAGGTGGGGTAGGGCTGTTATTTCCTTACAAGCTGAGAGTGGGGAAAGCCCTGGGTTGGACCCTGAATCTACTCTGCGAGTCTTTGAATGAACGCCCCTTCCCTCTTTAAGGTTGAAGGCAAGGAGACAGGAAAGAGTGTGTATCCTTGTGGGAGAACTGGCCTTTGTGAGCATAGATGATGCTGTAAAACAGGGACAGAAAAGAGCCAAAGAACTGGATCCTTGTTCATCGGCTAAGGCCTTTACACGTGTCATCTCGTTTAATTCACAGACCACCTACCATTTAGATAGCTACTGTTCGTTCACCTTCAAGCTAAGAAAACCAAGGCCGGAGAGGCTGGATAACTTGCCCAGTCAGTCAGGTAGTAAAATATGACCCAAGAGTCAAGCTTAAGGTTACATACTGCTAAGAGACACCCCTGCACTGATGGGTGTGGTCATGAGCAAGACAGGAGACCCCCAAGTCTAATTCACGGGTTCATTTCACAGATGTTCCTTTCCCTGTGCCTGGCATTCAGGGTGCAGCAAACCATTCAGGTCAGATTCTTCAGCATGGAATTCATGTTCCATGACAGGACACCAACCACTGACATGTGGAAATGAGGACAAGTATTAGCAGAGCCCTGGGCGCTCACTGCCCTCCTGGAGGGTCAGGGCCCAATTCCTCATGCTCTCTGTCTTTGCTTTCCTTGGTAATGGCCCACACAAACCCTCTCCTCATCGCTGCTCTCTCGTCTCCATCACTCTTGGGCTGGTTCTTGCCTCACCCATTCCTTCGTCCTTCCCAGACTCTTGCACCGTGACCTCTGGGAACTTCTCACTGAATGCTCCTTCCAACTCTGTGGCTTACTGATGCCAGCTGCTTCACTGAAGGCAGTCCCCACAATCTAACCCCACAATTGCCCTCGCCACCCTCATGGGTCAAACGCCTCAAGGCCTGGAGGAAAAGAGGGGTCGTCAGGACAGACTGCTGAAATAAATGCGCCCAACGCCAGGGGTGCGGAAAACAAAGGTAAAAACTCACCTGGCCCCATATCCAGCCTGGGGCAGCAGGGCTCATGGTCTCCTCTCCTTTCCTGGATCCAAGCTGAAGGGGCAGCCCTGGCATAGTGCTAATCTGGCAGAGGGAAAAGGCACACATGCAGACATAAGTTGGCACTGGAAGCCTCCACTGGGAAGAGATGCATGTTCCTGGCATTCACATTTCATAGTCTAAGGTGGGTGATATGATGGCAAGTTGGGTATGAGACGGCAAATATGCTGGCTGACAGTAAATTCTGCCATCTCTGGCGCCTCGGGTCTGTTTCCACATCTTAGCCTTTCTCCCTATGTAAGTCTAATACTGCTTTCCCCTTCCCAGACCACCTGGATCAAAACCTGATCCTCTTCCCTTCCAGCTCTCCAATTTCCACAGAATGCTCAGTCACCCTTAGTTCTCCCCTTTCCTCAGCCCACATCGGAGCTTTTAGAACGTCCCAGAGGTCTGACACCTGTCACTCTGTTCAGTCCCCACACTGCCTCACACCCCTCACTTGAACCACCTCTGTGATGACGTCCATGTCTTGCCTCCTAGTCAAGTCAGGAGCCACCCAACAGCCAGGGTAGACCAGACAGCCACTCCCAGCTCAAATTCTGTGGCTCCCACCCTGGGCTCTGGGAGGAGTCTGAAATCTCTCCTAGAAGACTCTCCCTATTATGCTTTTGCTGCTGCCCCAGCCCAGCCACTCCCCCAGTCCAGCCACACTGGGTTTCTCCAGTGACGTGAACACATGTTACTCTGGGATCTTCCTATGGGTTCCCTTCGCCTGGAACTCTCCTACTCCTCCTTCAGGTTTCAACTTCCTCTGACTCCTTGCGAGCTCGAGCTCGTGTGTTCTCTCTGAGCCCATGCTCCCCCAGGGCCCCCTACTGGCCCCTCCGGAAACACCCCTCCCTGCTGTAACCTCGCTCACCGGCTCGCACTTGCGTCTGAACTGGGAGCTGCGCGCAAGCAGCCTGGCATCCCTGGCCGCTACCTGCCGCAGGTGCTCAGGGAGTATTTTTCCAGTGAAAGAGTGAGCTTACTGCACATGAAGGTTGGGGGAAGGAAATAATAAAGGTCAAATAGATGCAACTGCCTGTGATTTAGTGAGCCCTCTGTCTTTATCAGAAGAGGCAGAAGGTTGGACCCCAGCACCACCTCTGAATCACTTCGTCCCAGACTCACCTAACATTATTATTCCCTCCTGCGTTTCCCTGTGTTTTTCCAGATAGAACGCCTAAAGTGCCCGCCTCTCCCATGGCCTATTGAAATTCAGTTTCATGCCAGAGAGAGGGTTTCTGGGCCTCTTTCCCCTCCTGAAACCTGCTGTTCTCACCTCTCTCCCAGTCCTCCTCCTCAGCGCATCCCACTGGCCTGCTAAACCAAGACCTCCAGAAAAGCCTGAAGACTCACCAAGATGTTGTCACTCCTTAGCAGAAAGACTTGGATGACAACCTGAAGAAATGAACAGAAGGACACGTGAGTAAGACACACTGAGGCCTGGGCTCGCCTAGTGCATCTGCCAAACGAGGCTGCTCTCTGGGCGTGCAGTGCACAGCTCCATAAAGGCCCCTCCGCTCCATCCTGGTGCCTCCCACTGGGCTCAAGTGGTTTCTGATAGCACAGCAGGGGAGAAAGCCTTGTCTCCCAGCGGCCATCCCAAAGGGCCACAGACTGAATGGCTTAAGCAACACCAGGAAAATACTTGCTCTACAAGGCCAGGGTGTGGCTGGTTTGCTTTCTCCATGGCCTCATCCTTGGCCTGTAGGCGACCACCTTCTAGCTGTAGCTTCCAGGGGGTGCAGGGTCATCCCTCTTATCGCTCCCGCCTGATCTCTTCTTGTAATTTCTCGCGTCGGAGTGGTTAGGGCTCCCCTGCCATGGCCTCATTTTTACTTGCACCCCTCTGAAGACCCTATCCCCAAATGCTTGGGGGCGCGAGGGTTAGAGTTTTGATGTGTGAATTTGTTGGGTTGGCATGGGGGGGAACACAATTCAGGTCTTAAGGGAGAGACATTCCTGGCTCTAGGATATTACCAGTCCTTCAGGGGTCTCTGATTAAGAGTAGTAACTGTTGGGCCCTCTCTCGTGGCATGACAAGTTCAAGCGCAGCACTAGGAAACAAGCTTCAGCAGCTTCAGCACTGAGTTCTATCCCCAGCCAGGGAGCTGACCCACATGGCGCAGCAGACCTCTCCTGTCTCGCCCACTGCTCCTCTCAGCAGTGTACTTTGGCAATCTGCCTGTTCTGCTCCCCACTCTGTCTCTGGTGAATCTGCTCACCGCCCCTGCACCTCTAGTCTGTGCCCCAGTTCTGTATGCATAAATGAATACATCTTTTTTTTTTTTTAAAGTAGTGACTGTTGGATTAACAAATGAATGAATTTCTTGTCCAGGACTGCAAGGGCCAGGCTATAATTTCAAATGCATAGGTACAACAAATCAAATGTAAATTTCTTTCTAATTCAACAAAAGGAAGCAGGAGAAACCAACACCTCTTTGTTCACTGCCAAGGAGAAGTGGCAAACCTTAAATGTATCCTTGCAGACCAAAAACAAGAAAGCATGAGTTCAGAGAAGTAAAGACAGTTCCTCATTTTTTTAAACCTGAATCTGCGTATTAATGGGCCATTTTTATAGAAGAAAAATCCTGGGATTCAGGCCAAGTGATGGAAAGATCAGAGCTCTGTATATAAAACCTCAGAACCTGAAGACAATCCCTCAGTTGGCACTGTTTTTTTTTTAAAGCCCTCCCCCTGGGGCCCTCCCTGGTGGCACAGCGGGTTAAAACACTGCACTAAGAAGCTGAAACCACTTCCGCATGAGTTCGATTCCCACCTGCCCCAGAGGTGACCACATGGTGTGACAGACCTCTCCTGACCTGCCCACTGCTCCCCTCAGCAGTGTACTTCGACGATCTGCCTGTTCTGCTCCCCACTCTGTCTCTGGTAAAGTCTTTCGCCACTCCTGAGTCTCTGGCCTGTACCCCAGGTCTGTATGCACAAATAAATAAAACTTAAAAAAAAAAAAAAGCCCTTCCCCTGGAAAAAGACAGTGGAAATATATCTTTGCCTCTGTCTCTATGATGAATAAAGAGAAAATTTTCTTCTATACTAACCATGAAAGGAAGATATCAGAAAGTAAAAAGACACAAACTAAAATAGAAATTTTTAAATAATGAAAGGGCAATAAGCAGTCTGCCTCCATAATCACCTTTAGTGTAACATGAAATTCTGTTAACATAAGTGGTTTCTTTTTTTTTTTTTGCATAAAAGTGGGCTGTAGGCTAGAGGTGGTGTGGCAGTGAGAGGATTCACCAGAGACAGAGCGGGGGAGCAGAACAGGCAGATTGACTGAAATACACAGCTGAGGGGAGCAGCGGGGACAGGAGAGGTCTGCTGCGCCCTGGCCGGGGATGGAATTTAAGCCATTGCAATGGTAGCACTAAGACTTAACCTCTGGACCATCAGGGAGGCCTGTCAAGCTGTTTTAAAACAAGTAAAAGTGAGTTCAACAAGAGAGCTAGATTTCAGACCAGCCAAAACAGACAGTAACTGATTAGAAAGAACAACAATAAAATCCAAATCAGTCAAATAAGTAAAAACAATGAAGTACAGTGAATGAACTGAAGAAAACACAAGGAATGTACACCTACGTTCCAAGATGTATTACAAAGTCATTCATTCTCCCCCAATTATAACTTATTCATTATAAGACCAATCAAAATGCAGAGGGTTATTAAAATGAAATGGATACGCTCCATCTTTCTTCGCAAACCTCTTGTGGGATGGGGCCAGATTTCAAACAGCCAGGTCTTTTGCCACACCCAGGTCTAGGCATCTGCTTGTAGGTTCTGAAGCCACTACTTTGACATGAAAAATTGGTAAACGGCTAATGATGTCTGCATAGCATAAGCCTCTAGGTTACTATGCAATTTTCTCCAGGAAGTTCATGTTTTGAAGCAAGGGGCAAGCTTTCTCATTGTTAAAGGGGAAGCCTTAGTAATAACAAAAGGACCTTAAGGGGAAATATTGCAAATCTACACAAATGTTTTATTTTAGATCAGGGTGGCTGATTTAAGGTTCCAAAAGCCACCCAGCGGGCTACTATGTATGGAATGTGGCAAAGCCTTGAATGCAGATAAACAAACTGTAAAGATTTCCCCTTTATTAAAATAACAATCAGAAAGAGGACTACACCTGGAGTCAGATTGCTCACTTTGATGAAAATGGTCTCCATGAGAAGTTACTATCTCCAGACCTGGTTCTCCAAGGAGGAAGCATAAGTCCTAGCTCTTAGGACAGCAAAGAAAACTGAAAGTGTTGCTGGGCACAAATGTCCTGTGGAAAATGAACTGTGCTAGTATTTCTATTAGAAGCATTATTGGTTTTATAGTTCTGATTATAAAATTGCACGCGTTTTACACAATCTGCTTCTAATTCTGTTTTTCACAAAAACTGTTGTTCTTAGTGCACTGTTCTTTGCAGAACTTCAGGTCTTTTAGAAATGCATATATCAGATTATAGCAGAAACACCTGTGCTCAAAATGAAGCTGCACCCCACCTCTCTTCTTCCCTGCCCACCTTGGTAGGTCCCCAGTCTCCTTGACAAGTGATCAAGGAGAACAGGGACCCACTTCCCTGAGAGTGGGGCAACTTCCCTGGAGACTGCGGCAGTTCTCCAGAGTTTAGGCACGGAGCCCATCTTTCTTTCCCTCTTCTCTCCTCCTCCAGACCCCCTGTCACTCAGGAGATGCCAATTTGAACAGACCCAGAATTTTACTGCATTGAACAAGCCGTTGAACCCCTGTATGACTCGGTTTCCTCCTTCTTTGATGGGTAGGTAGCGTTTTTTTTTTAAAGATCATGGTTGCTGTGGATGTCTTTAATTTTGAAGTCTGCCTTTGGTTCTTGCTTTGCTATTGATAGTTCGGTGACCCTGACTTTACTTCTCTCTGCGTTATCCGTAAAATGGGGCCTTTGCAAGGATTTAATAACACTATGTGTGCAGAGCTCTTAGCACAAGATGTGCACTACAGCTCCCCAAACTGAAGTTCCTTTTATGGGAGGCGGGGGCTTCTCCACAACAGAAGTTCTGACTGGGGAGGTAGCGGAACACAGAGCTGGTGGGGAAAGCAGCCAGTGGCTGTGATGTCCAGGGATGGCGAACACCCCCTTCCATCTGCTTTCCACCCCTACCGGATCCAGCCATGAACCGGACCTCCTAGCTAGCTAGAGCCACCCACCAGCTCCGGCGACTTGGGGTGGGGGTGGGGGTGGGGAAGCGGCCACCCCCTGCTGGGTTTCAGGGCCGACTACATTTCCCGGCGTGCACCTCGCTCGGAGCCCCGAGGTGCGGTCCAGCCATCAGGACTTAGTCACCAGGGCCGCGTTAGAGGGTGCGGGCAGTGACCACCCTTCACGAGGCTCCCACTTTTCACTCTGTGAAGCGCGTCTGTCACCGTCAATCCCACCTCAGGCCGCGGGCCCCGCTGGGTCTGTGAGGAGTGCTTGGTCCCCTTCTCACCGCCAGGCGCCCAGCCCACCGGGCCCGAGCCAGGTTCATCTCCCCAGGAGGGTCGCTTCGGGCCCTCGGGGTCCCCACTGTGGCCCGAGGCTGGCAGCCGGGCTGTGGGGTCCGGGAGACGAGGGGCCGCGCTCGGGGCCGCGCAGCCGGAGACTACAACTCCCAGGCGGCACCGCGGCGGCGTCGAGTACGTCACTCTGGCACCGCCAGCAGCCCGGGCAGCGGCGCGGGCGGGGGCAGGGGCTGGGGCCGACCCGAGGCCGGTGCTGAGGATGCGGGCCGCCCGGCCAGCCCGCGCGTGAGGAGGCCGAGGGGCGCGCCACCCCGTCCCGGGGCGGCCGCCCCCGGGGCCCTGCCACCCCCGCCCCGCCCGGCGGTCGTGGCCCGGGATGCGGAGCCGGGGGCCGCCGGTGGAGCTGCGCGGGGTGAGAGGCGCAGGAAAGGGGGTTGCCTGCTTCCCTCACCCGCGTCCCCCACCGGCTGGCCCCGGCAGGAATTCGGGACCCGCACGGCCAGGCCCTCTTAGCACCCTGTTATTTGGGGGAGACAGGTGAACCCGCCGCCCTACCCCCACCCCGCCCCTCCTGGACAGCGGAAGCCGAAGGGACGACCCTGCCCTTTTAAAGGCGTTTCTGGCTCCTGAGGAGGGCCCCTAGCCATGGCCCCCAGGAGCCCCCTAAAACCTGCAGAGACTGCTCCCCATCGGGGCTGCCGGGGCCCGCCCTCTGCATCCCGCGGGCAGCCAGTGTGAAGCGGCCTCCCGCAGCCCCCGCCCCTCCCCCATGGAGGAGGAGGAGGGGGTGGCGGCCAAGGAGTGGGGCACGACCCCCGCGGGGCCCGTCTGGACCGCGGTGTTTGACTACGAGGCGGCGGGAGACGAGGAGCTGACCCTGCGGAGGGGCGACCGCGTCCAGGTGCTTTCCCAGGACTGTGCCGTGTCGGGCGATGAGGGCTGGTGGACCGGGCAGCTTCCCAGCGGCCGAGTGGGCGTCTTCCCCAGCAACTACGTGGCCCCTGGCGCCCCTGCCGCGCCCGAGGGCCTCCAGCTGCCCCAGGAGATCCCCTTCCATGAGCTGCAGCTAGAGGAGATCATCGGGGTAGGGGGCTTTGGCAAGGTCTATCGGGCCCTGTGGCGTGGCGAGGAGGTGGCCGTGAAGGCCGCCCGTCTGGACCCTGAGCGGGACCCGGCGGTGACAGCAGAACAGGTGCGCCAGGAGGCCCGACTCTTCGGAGCCCTGCAGCATCCCAACATCATTGCCCTCAGGGGCGCCTGCCTCAGCCCCCCTCACCTCTGCCTGGTGATGGAGTATGCCAGAGGGGGTGCACTGAGCAGGGTGCTGGCTGGTCGCCGGGTGCCCCCTCACGTGCTGGTCAACTGGGCGGTGCAGGTGGCGCGGGGCATGAACTACCTACACAACGACGCCCCTGTGCCCATCATCCACCGGGACCTCAAGTCCATCAACAGTAAGTGGTGTTCTCCAAAACTTGCTTCCACAGAGCCTTACAGGGCCACGGGGTGGGAAACGGGGGTGCCAGGAAACACTGCGTGGGCCGTGTGCCTTCAGGGCCAGGTGGAAGTGGCGGTTCAGAAGGTGGTTCTGCTTTTTGGCTAGAGTGACAGTACCGCAGTCACTCAGCACCAGCGGCATGGGGACAGACCTTGGCTTCCCTGCCGTGAACAGGACAGACCCAGTGCCTGCCCTCGGAGCTGCCCACTGTCTAACCACGGTGGCAGTGTCCACCAGGCGCAGACAGGAGGAACCTAGCCTGGAGACAGGGCTTCTCGCCCTGGGCACTGTAGCTGTCTGTCTGTCCTGAGTGGCTGAGCAGCTTCTCTGGCCTTCACCACGAGGTGGCCTTCGCTCACCCTTCAGCCCCAGTTATGACAACCAAAAATGTCGCTAGACATCGCCAAATGTCCCCTGGGGGACAGAATTGCCCCATTTGAGAACCACCTCCTGGAGTCCTAGGTCTCTGTCCTAGTGGCCCAGGCAAGCTGGAAATGATGACGGGAAGGGGTGGGATGGGATTTACATAAAAGCGGTGCCTCCCCGGCCTATCCCAGGCTCTGGAAAGTTGATTGGTTGGTTGAATAAGGACCAGAGCCAAGTGGAAGGGAAGGTTCTCCGGGACCTACATCCACATCAATGAACTTCTCTTGATATGAGCAAATACCAGCTGAGCCCCTGTAAAGTAGGACCCCACAGGAACCAAGACAGCCGTGGCTGCTTCTCTGCGGTCTCACACGTAGAGATTTCACCAGGAGCCAGCCATTTCCTGAGCGCATGTTGAGAACTGCCCTGATGCCCACCTTAAAGAGACGCTGGGGAGTGAGAACTGCCCTGATGCCCACCCTTAAAGAGACGCTGGGGAGGGCCCTACCTCTCCGGCGGCAGTGACAGAGACCAGCATGTGCCCAGTCCTCACACGAAGGAGCTTTTCCCCTTTTCCCTCCACCTCGTCTATTTCTGAGCCTGTCCCCCTGAAATCTGTTTGGATCCACTCCGCTATATCTGTGTTTGTGGCTATGCAGCCCAAGTGCAGGTCCCCCGACCAGGGGGTGAGTCTTCCTCACCTCCCAGACTTGGTATTTGTACCCTCCACAGATAGCGCCTGAGCCCCGGCACGCCAAGCCCTGTGCCAGGGCTGGGGAGTTGAGCGAGCCAGACGCAGATGGCCCTGCTTGCGCTCAGCCGACTCGCTAATGCCCGGAGCGCTGGGAAACGGAAGCAGCGCGGCAGCCTGCCCTTCGTGACCACGAGGCCCTTCCTGGCCCTTCCTCACCCTGCTGACTCACAGCCTGCAGGGTTAAGGACACACCTCCCAGTTTCCTATCGCCAAAGCCACGTGGACATGTGGTCGCTGGGGCTCTGTAGGCCAGGCCCGCGCTTGCCTGAGCCGGAGCACAGCGGCCCCCCCAACTCGGCTTCCCCATCCTCCTTCCCTGTGGAACTCCTCATCTGAGGTCACTTACTCTGGTTCAGCCCACCAGCAACTCTGAGGCACATTGTCTACGTGCAGGGTCCTAGGCTCTGGGACACGGAAGTGAACAAGGGAAGAGAGAGCCTCCCCCTAAGGCATTTGTAGTCCAGGGGACAGAAATAGATAATTGGTATTTAGGGAGGCAGGGAGGGGTACAAAATTCAGGATCAGGGACTCTGAGGAATGAGGCAGAGTAGACGGGGCGCGGGAGCTCTTCGGGTCAGCCGACCAGGGAGGGCAACTTTACAGTAGAGCCCCAGCCTTGCGTTTCCTGGCGGATCCTGAGGTGGAGGAAGTGTGACTTGGAGAAACGAGGAGACCGGTGGGGCTGGAACGGCAGAGTGAGGCAGAGGCGGAAGCGGACACGCGCAGGACGGTGGGCAGGGCCGCGCCTCGAGGCTCGGGGCTGCGTGAGGGCTGGGTATTTTATTCAATGTAGTAGAAGTCACTGGGGGTTTTAAGGAGGGCAGGCACGAGCAGAGAGATACTTGAAACTGGTGCAGGTGTGAGCGTAAGGCCGCGGGGGTGTGTCCTCAGTCTCAGAGCCTCTGCACAGTGGGAGAGGAGCGTCCCAGAGGCCCCCAGGAGGGGGTTGGGGTGAGGCGCCAAGAACGGCTCGGTGGGTCGGCAGCGCAGCCATCTCTAGGCCCTGTCTTCCTTTGCCACATGGGCACGGTAGTAGAACTGCCTTATTACACCCACTGGGGGAGCAGCAGAAATGGTCAAAGACAAGGGTGAAGAGAGAAGGGACAGTTCCGGTGACATCACACGCGCGTAAGGCCCTACCGTTACTTAAGCGAGTGAAGCTTTGCCGCAGTCGTGTAAGGCAGATACGACTGTCCTCCCACTTCAGAGCGGAGAAGTGTTAGCGTTGAGATTACCTAAGTTGTAGAAGGTCCCAACGTAGCTAGTGTGGCAGAGCTGGGATTCAAACCCAGATGGGACAGTGAAGGCCTCTGGTAGAAAGTAGTAAAATACCACAGCAGTTAAGAGATGGGGCTCTGATGACTTCATTAGTTCATGTCTTTGCCCCACTTTCTAGCTGTGCGATCTTGGCCAGGTGACTCCCTCTCCCCCTGAACCTTAGTTTGCTGGTCTGTAAAATGGGTCGCGTGCTCTTGACTTCGTGTAAGGCCTAGCAGCGTGCCTGGCATAGACCCCGGGGAGCACGCTCCGTGACGACCTTTGTTAGTGACCCCGGGCAGAGGGGCCACTCACTACACATGGGGCCACCTGTCAGATTTGGGCACAGGAGTGTCATGTGTGAACGATCACCGAGACGCTGTGTCTTGCAGCAACGGGTATTCATCACTTGTCCATACGTTTGCAGGCCAGTGCACGGTACACCCGTCTGGGCTGGCCTCTGCCAGAGATAACTCTGCCCCGGGTATCTCTTCCCTGCCTTGGGCAGCGGGTCAGTGAGGCACGTGCCCGCGGTGGTGGCAGGCACAGAGAGCACCTGCGCCCGAGGCCCCTGAGGCCCAGGCTGGGGTTGGCTCTCTGTCACTCCTGCCGGCCACAGAATTCACGTGGCCAACCCGGAAGCAAATGGGGGGGCACCCTGCCTCTTTAATGCGGAAGCTGTGCAGTCACATGGCAGAGAGGGTGACACAGAAGGGAGCAGAATTGGGCCGCGGGTACAGTGTACACGGAGGGGGATCAGAGGTGGGAGGAAGCCGCCCGCACCCCTTCTGCTTGTGGATTGCAGCTCAAGCTATGATCCAGTGGCTGGGCAGGCCTGGGCCGCTGGCCCTTGCTGAGCACCCAGCGCCCAGACGTGCCGGGAGGGAGGCGCCCTGCTGCTCCTGGGAGCCCGGGGCAGGGGCAGGCGCCCGAAGGGTTCACAGGGCTCCCAGGTTGGAAAGGGGCCTGGGCGTGAGGCGAGGGGAGCAAGGAGAACAAGAGGAGCTTCTCGGTGAGCACGGCGCGTACGCAGGCTAGAGCAACCTCCTTTCTTCCCGCCACAGTCCTTATTCTGGAGGCCATCGAGAACCACAGCCTCACAGACACGGTGCTCAAGATCACGGACTTCGGCCTCGCTCGCGAGTGGCACAGGACCACCAAAATGAGCGCAGCGGGGACGTACGCCTGGATGGCCCCGGAGGTCATCCGCCTCTCCCTCTTCTCCAAAAGCAGTGATGTCTGGAGGTGCACATGGGGGCTGGGAGGCCTCCTAGGAGTTGGGGGTGGGTGGGGGAGGTGGGGCCAGGGTAGAGTGGGAGGAGCAGGCGCCCCTGGAACCAGGCTCCTTGCCAGGGGCTGTTGACAGCACCCCGCGGGTTCTGCTCCGCTGGCAGAGGTGGTGGCTCAGGGCAGCCTCGCTAGGCTAGAGCCTCCCAGAGTAGGGCAGGGTGCTGCCGGAGGCCCTGAGGCACCGCCAGCCCCCGCCCCTGCCTGCCAGTCAGGAAACTGAGGTTTTGGCAAAACCCAGCCAGCCAGCCAGCCAGCCATCCGTCGTCCGTCCGTCCGTCCAGCCATCCAGCCATCCATCTGCACTGGATAGTAGGGATACAGCAGTGGATGAAAGCAGACATGATTCTTGTCAGCAGAGATAGTAAACAAATAAACTTACAAGAAACTGAAAAGAGCTGTTTTTAAGTTAAAACCATAAGCTGATTCTTAAAAGATGATCAAGTAATCCACCAGATCAAAAAACTAGTGTTAAGTGCGAGGAAGTTAAATGAAAAGCACCAGTGGGTAGTTGGGGAGGGCTTTGACCACTGACCAGTGATGCTTGAGCTAGGTTCTAATGACACCCAGCAGCCAGCCACGTGGGGTTCGGGGCTTTGGGCTCACCCACCCAGGCAAAAGGACGGGGCGGGTGAGCTGGGGCCCTCCCACCTCCCAGGGCAGGGCTGGGGCAGAGGGGCGGCGCGTCAGAGGGCAGGGAGTGGAGAGGCTGTTCCACCGCCTGTGCCCAGCCCCAGTCCTCCGCATGGCCCAGAGTGGCTGCTAAGCTCCAGCTTTTGCATCCCCGCCCTAACCAGTAGCAGGAAAAAAGAAGGAAGGGCAGCCACCCCTTCTAGAACACTTAACCTAGCTGCGTCCCCACGCCTGCGTCCCGCTGGCCAGGCCCGGCAGTTGGGCATCCTTGGCGGCGAGGAGGCTGCTGTGCCAGCAGCACGCAGGGCCGTTGTGTGTCCTGCTCCGGTGCTGGCCAAGTGGATGTTTGATGGGTGTGCGAGGGGCGGGCCTATGGTTAGAAGCAGAAGGTGACAGGCTCCCGAGGAGCTGTTTGCTGGAGATGATGGGCGCCCGTGAGGCGTGCACGGGCGTGGGGCAGCATCGGGGCGGCCGAGCCTCCGTCTGCCAGCTGTGTGGCCTCAGGCCAACAGCTCAGCCTGTGTGAGGCTGCACCTGCCCATCGGATAAAATAGGGGGTTTATGCCAATCGTCCCACCTTACCAGGCTGCTGGGAGGGTTACTGAGTGCCAGGCGCAGCGCCGGCCAGGACTGAGGCTGAGTTCAGGCTAAGTGATGTTAACTTGATGGCAGAGGTAAATGGTGAGTGTCCTGTGGGCACAGAGGAAGGGCCTCTCACCAGCTTTAGAGCCTGCGGAATCTGGGACCGTTCTAGCTGCCGAGGGCTCACCTGAGTTGCGACTCAAAGGACAGTTAATGCAAAGGCAGAGGGAGCTTGCCAGAGGGAACAGCGAGTGTGAAGGCCAGAGGTTAGGAGGGCTCGTCCAGCTGCCCTGGCGTAGCTGTAGGGTAAAGCCGGTGTTTGCGCACAGCCTGAGTGCTCGGAGGTGGCCTGCAGGGGCCGTCACAGGGCAGGGAGAAGGGGGTGGGGCCCGGTGGGTCGCCGGGTGGGGCAGGGCGGGGCAGAGGGTTGGCGCGTCAGGGCCAGCCGCCAGCGTGAGATCAGGCCGATGGAAGTTGAAGGAGTTCGTGTGGCCCCCTCTGCTGGGCTTGGATGCTGCGGGGAGGGGGGGCCACCCTGGGACAGGAGACAGGCGTGGGGCCCGCGAGGGGTGGGGCGGGCTGCAGCTTGAACCTGCTCTCCCCGCCCGCAGCTTTGGAGTGCTGCTCTGGGAGCTGCTGACGGGCGAGGTCCCCTACCGTGAAATCGACGCCTTGGCCGTGGCTTATGGCGTGGCTATGAACAAGCTGACGCTGCCCATCCCCTCCACTTGTCCCGAGCCCTTTGCCCGCCTACTGGAGGGTGAGCCAGGGCCCCGTGGAGCGGGTAGGCTCAGCTTGGGTGGCAGGGACCCCTGGGCCCAGACTCCAGACCTCCCCCCTTCCACCAGGCCCAGGAGTGAGGGCGAAGGGGCTGAAACCACAACTGCCCCCAGCCTCACAGCAATCTGACAGATTCCCCGGGGGTTCCTCCCTGCCCCCCGATTTACCTCCCATCCAGGAGCAGGTCCCCAGGCCTCTCTCCCAGAGTTTCACAAAGTGAACTAGTGCCTGGAATTTGACCTTAAGTCCTTTCCCTTGGGCTCCATGGAAGTAGTTTGTCCGCTGTCCCTTAAAGACCTGCCTTGCCCGGAGCAGGCCTAAGCCCAGAGCAAGACGCTGACCTCTCTGCTCCCACTGCTGTTCCCTGCCCCCACGCAGAATGCTGGGACCCAGACCCCCACGGGAGGCCAGATTTCGGCAGCATCTTGAAGCAGCTTGAAGTCATCGAACAGTCAGCCCTGTTCCAGATGCCGCTGGAGTCCTTCCACTCGCTGCAGGAGGACTGGAAGCTGGAGATTCAGCGCATGTTCGATGACCTCCGGACCAAGGAGAAGGTGAAGGCCAGCACTGGCGGGCGGGTGGAGGGGGTCGGAGCAGGATCCCTGGGTGCCAAAGCCTAGGGTGCAGCGCACTCCCTACCCCAGAGCTTGTTTTGGGGCCCACGTGGGCCTAGAGGCCTTGTTCTGCAAATTAAGAAAAGGCTGGGTCTCCCCCTGACAGCAAGGAAGGAAGGGGATGCGTGAAGAAAATGGGATGTGCACAGTGTAGATGATTGTTGCGTTTGGGTGGTGGCCTGTGTGCTTTGGTGGTTTCTTAAAGTTTCTCCACTGAAGTTGGAAAATTAAGAGTCAAAGCAAAAGACAATGCCCCCTTCTTAGGGCTGACGGCCGCCGCCGGGGCCCCCAGCTTGGCTGTGGCCTGGGCGCCGCGCAGACCCAGCGGCCCTGGTGCCCAGGGGTCAGAGTGGCTGAGCGCCCCCACCCCCTCCCCCGCAGGAGCTCCGGAGCCGGGAGGAGGAGCTGCTGCGAGCGGCCCAGGAGCAGCGCTTCCAGGAGGAGCAGCTGCGGCGGCGCGAGCAGGAGCTGGCCGAGCGCGAGATGGACATTGTGGAGCGCGAGCTGCACCTGCTCATGCGCCAGCTGAGCCAGGAGAAGCCCCGGGTCCGCAGGCGCAAGGGCAACTTCAAGCGCAGCCGCCTGCTCCGGCTGCGGGAGGGCGGCAGCCACATCAGCCTGCCCTCGGGTACCGCGCCCCGCCCCCCGCCGGCCCCTCCCCAACACTCATGGCTAAATAGAGCACACAGATATGAAAGTTGGCCAAACCCACCAGCTCAGTGGGTTTTTACTGTTGTCACCCCGTGAAAACCTCACAGCCCCCTAGGTGAGCCCGCAGGGACCCCAAACCGTCCCCTGCTACCTCTGCCTTGACTTTCCACCTTTTCTGTATAGTGTTGGCTCGGGGCTGTTTTTAGCCTCTTCGGGTCTGGGCTCTGACCCTTCAGCGGCCGCAGCCTGGACTTGCCGACTTGCCCCTGGTGTCCCTGAGCGTGCGCCTCAGTCCCCTGAATGTCCTGTACGTTATCAGTTAGCTAAATGAATTTGCTCATGTTTGGCCCGTTCTGACGTACAATAACAGAAGTTAGGGATTAACCTAAGAGCTGGATCAAGGTTTAATCTGTTTCCAGTGCAGGTTTGATTTCTTTTGTTGGTTTTTGCAAAGACTTTCCCAGGTGGGCCTGGCTTTCTCCTTGGCACGCCCGAGCCATAGAGCATGTCTAGGAGCGGCCTGGCCAGGGGGCCCGGGGCCAGGGGCGCACTCGAGGGAGTAAAGCACAGGGGAGTGACTTTCCTGGTGTATCTTCTTTAGCCCAGTCTGACCAAGGTGTTGTGATGGCCCACGGAAACCTTTGGGACCCCGCGCGTCATTTTATAGTTACAGCCCATTTCCACGCAGGCATTCACTTTTCACCAAAAATGTTTGAGCTACGTTTAGATTTCACAACATTTACGGTTGAAAAGGTGGACCCACAGTCCAAACCAGCTTACATGTCCCCAGCAACTGAACTGAGTGTCTGTTTTCAAGTGTAAACTAAAATTACCCAAAAATCACTCACGCCAGCTCCCTGGGGCCCCCGCCTCTGGGACACCCCCCCTTAGCCAGGCTAATAGCCATTGCGTCGGCCCTCAGGCCCAGCTCTACCATCAGCTGGACAGGAGCTCTCAAGTGTGAGTAGGCCCCAAGGTCCCTGGAGGGCTCTGAACCCCCACTGAGTAACTGCCTCTCACCCCTCAAACCGCGGAGTCAGGGCCTAAGAACACGCATCTGCAAGAGATCTCCCACGAGGCCCACAGGCCCGGCTGAATCAGATTTCCCAGACTGTGTTCCTCCTCCAAAGGACACTTCTCCCTGGGCGCCCACGTCGCTGTGCTTAGGAAAGTCTCCTTCTCTTCTGCAGGCTTCGAGCATAAGATCACAGTCCAGGCCTCTCCGACGCTGGACAAGCGGAAAGGGTCGGATGGGACCAGCCCCCCTGCGAGCCCCAGCATCATTCCCCGGCTCAGGGCCATTCGCCGTGAGTATCTGCCAAGGCCCAGCAGTCGGTCAGCAAGCGGTCAGCAAGCGTGCTGAGCACCCCGCACCAAGTAGAAGAGGGGCGGGCCCCTCATCAGCGGAAAGCAGCAAGCCCAGCCCTGGGCGGACCTTTCCGGGTGCTAAGTGCTGTACGCCAGAGCTGCTGCTTCCCTCAGGGAGGCTCTGTGAGGGGCGGTGGCTTGGGCAGGGGCCTGCCTGGGCCGAAGGAGCCCACAGGCCACGATCCGAGGAAGAGGGTGTCCCTGGCGGAGGGAAGAGCGGGGGCAGGGGCTGGGAGGTGTGCGCTAGGGGTGGGGGGAGCTGAGGGGGAGCCCGGGTTTGCAGTCTTAGGTCACTCTGTGAGCGAGGCAGGGAGGTGAAAGCTGCAGCTTTCCCCCAGCTGCTGCGAGGCGCGTGGCTTGGGAGAGGCCACGAGGGAGGCAGGAGACAAGGGAGCTGG